ATGCTCGACGACGCCATCCTTGTGCAGGCTCCCGGGTTGCCGACCTTTGTGAGTGCTTAACAGGGAATGAGGGAATTAGCCTAGATATGGGTGCGTCATTCCCTCATTCCCTACTAAGAACCAGCCAGTATTCAGGGGTTTGGGGGTCCCATAAGGCTTAGGGCTTAGGGGTCCCATTCCGCAGGGACCGAAGGCCTGAACCCCAAACCCCTAAACCCTGAACTCTTGGAGCGCTTGTTTGCGTGCCCTGAGGGCCAAAACCCTAAGGAAACCCCAGAACCCTTTAAACTCTGAGAGACGAGGCGCGAACATTTCCTGGCGCGAAGCCGCCTGTAGATCCGTAAGCTCTCCTTCAGGGTTGCCTCACTTGCAAGAAAAAGCCCCCCCTAAAATCCTAGACCCTATAGGGTTTAGGGTTTGGGGTTTGGGGTGTAGGGTTTAGGGTTTAGGGTTTAGGGTTTGGGGTTTAAGCCCTAAACCCTAAGCCACTCGGGATGCTGGGCAAGCCAGGATTCGTGAACCCCCCCAAGAAGCCCTCAGTCTTCATTGAACATACTCTAAACCCAAAAAGCTAAACCCGAAACCCTAAAACCTAAAACCTAAACCCTAAATCCTAAACCCTAAACCCGAAACCCTAAGTCTTGATGAAACTCCTAAACCCTAAACAAACTCTAGACCCCAAGAATCAACTTCTGGGATGGTCAGGCGCCTGGTGAACTTCAGCTGGCCCTCCTCCCTTTCGTGGAGGCCCATATTCTCAGAGTTTTTTGTGTGTGGGGTTTAGGGTTTAGGGTTGAGGGTTTAGGGTTTAGGGTTTAGGGTTTAGGGGGGTTTAGGGCTTTGGCTTTGTGGATTTGGGTTCTAGGCTTCGGGGTACATTTACAGGAAGCACCGCTGCGCCCAAGTGTGTTCATTTGTTTTTCTCTTGGGATCTCGAAGTATCAGGTAGATGGGTACATGGACCCGTGCAGGGTTCGGGTTTGGGGTTTAGGGTTTAAGGGCTGCTTCCGCAGACCCTAAACCCTAAACCCCAAACCCTAAACCCTAAACCCTAAACCCTAAGCCCTAAGCCCTAAACCCTAAACCCTAAACTCTATTGGTGCGAGATTTGGCCCTGAGCCTCGACGTCGCTGCTGTTTAGTTCGGTGCGAAGGCATCGAAGCAAGATATCGCCGAGCTCCTGCTGGCTTGCCACGAAGAGGACGTGGATCACGTGGAGAACATCCTCCACAGGCATCCGGGCACATTAAACCCCGACACCCCAAACCCCAGAACCCTGAACCCTTACAGCAGAAGCCCTTGAACCTTAAGCTCTTAAACGCTAAACTCTTAGACCCTTAGCCCTCGAGATCCTTAAACTCTTAGTCGCTAAGCCCTTAGACCCTTAGACCCTTCGACCCTTAGTCGCTAAACCCTTAGACCCTTAGACCCTGAGAACCTTAGACGCTTAGACCCTTAGACCCTTAGACCCTTGGACCCTTAGACCCTTAGACCCCTTAGACCCTTAGTCGCTAAACCCTTAGACTCTTAGACCCTTAGACGCTTAGACCCCTTAGACCCTTGGACCCTTGGACCCTTGCACCCTTAGACCCTTAGACCTTAGACCTTGAACCCTACATCTCTACACCCTTACACCCTACACCGATTTTCCACTCGTCCACTTGTGGCATGGACCTTCAGGCCCCAAAATCCTGATCTCAGCAACGACCCTTGGACTCACCAAGCTGAGGGGGTCGAAGTTGTTTAGGGTTGAGGGTAAGAAGTTTTTGTTTTGGGGTTGAGGGTAAGAAGTTTTTGTTTTCGGGTTGAGGGTAAGAAGTTTTGTTTTGGGGTTTAGGGTAAGAAGTATTGTTTTGGGGTTTAGGGTCTAGGGCTTAGGATTTCGAGCTTCTCACTGTGCCTGGGTCCTCTGCACATTCCTATCTTCCCAGTCCCAAGTACACACGGCAAGCATGGTCACCCTAAACCCTAAACCCATAACCCTAAACCCTAAACCCTAAACCCTAAATCCTAAACCCTAAACCCTTAACCACTTCACGCTTGCTTCGCCGCCATCCTGTCCCGCGGATTGTAAGGTTGCTGCTTGCTTTGGTATGAGACAATCCCATGGCCAAGTAAAGTTGAAACCTCGTGCTTGTATGTAGGGTTTAGGGTCTAGGGTTTTCGGGTTTAGGGCTTTTGGGTTACAGTGCAGTGAGGACAGGGGCTTGACAGCTCTGGTTGCTGCAACCGAAGTCGGCAGCGTCGCCATCGCCACTCTGCTTCTGGAGGACGGCTATGGCTTGATTGCTGCAACATCTAAGCCGCACAGACGCCCAGTAGTATCCTAGTTCCCTCTTTGAGGCTTTGGTTCCTCTATAAGCCACTCTGAACCATAAAGAAAAAGGCTTCTGGACACCCTTCTGCTTTAAAGGTTGCTAGGGCAACTTAGACATTCAAGGTTCATCGTGCTCGGGTTTTTGTGGGTACTATAGGGGTCTGACTGCTAGGTACTCGTAGTATTCCCCCATGATCCCTACACAATCATCATCCGGGTGCAAGTTTCAGCGCAAGTCACCTTGTGGCCCTTCGGGGTCTCTACAGATAGGATTGAGTGCATGGATAACGCTGTGTTTGGCAAAAGGCGTCTACAGAGCGACAGTGACTACGCTGCATGTTGTCCCGCAAGCTAATATGGGGGTCGGAAAATTTCTCATAGTTCTTCCTAATTATGCTATAAGAAGCCCCCCTGTCGCCCCCCCCCCAAAAAAAAAAAGAAAACAATATTCTACTTATTAAGGCCCCTAAACCCTAAACCCCACACCCCAAGCCCCAAACCCCAAACCCCAAAACCCCATTCTACTCATTAAGGCCCCTACTGGTACGCTGTTTGCGGGAAGGCCGGGGCCGACAAAAATCTTGCCGACAGCTTCGGCGCCACCGCGCTCTCCGTCGCGTGCGAAGGGCGATTCGTGCAGGTCAGGCCGCGGGGTTTAGGGTTTAGGGTTTAGGGTTTAGGGTTTAGGGTTTAGGGTTTAGGGTTAGGGTTTAGGGTTTAACATAGGGGGGTCGGAATAATTACTAATCATATTCCCTTAGGGGCCCTTTCTGATTATATTATCATAACCCCCCAAAACCCTATTCGAACCATTCAGGCCCCCTCTATTAACGAAACTGCAGTCCACGAGTTTCTTCATGTATCCTATCCACATGCATTCTAGTCTGCCTGCCCCCCCCCCCAAAAAAAAATATAAATATAAATAAATAAATATCTATATATATATATATACATTTACATATATATATATATATGTATATATATGGTATTTGCGAGAGCCCGTGCCCTACATGGCGCTGGAGGGGGTCCTGCAAGCCTGTCTTCATGCGGTCTTGCCCGCGTTGAGTTTATGTGAGCCGAAGTACGACAGGGAAGTCCGTGTGGCGTTGGAGGCATAGCATAATGACTGCTCATCCCAGCGCATTCATCATGTCGCTCGCTCACTTCTTGGCTGTTGAGTTGTTCTTTGGATTTTATGTTATAATCCCCCCCCCCCAACCCAAAACCTTCAACAATAACCCCGGAACCCTGAACCCTAAAACCGCCCAAGCCTTAAGCCCTAAACCCTAAACCCTAAATCCTAAATCCTAAACCCTAAACCCATTCAGTGTCAGTCTATTCAGCATTTCAACAGGTCGCCCGCCTCCTGCTGGCAGCCCATGCCGACGTAAACAAGGCGAAGCCTCAAAGAAGTCCTTGCAAGTATAGCGTTTAGGGTTTAGGGCAGAGGGTTGAGGGTATAGGGTTTAGGGTTTAGGGTTTAGGGCTTTGGGTTTAGGGTTTAGGGTTTAGGGTCTAGGGCTGAGGTGGCTGGCGTGTTGAGCTTAGAGAGTCACGGATCATACCATGAGCACGCCGCATGCTGGGCATGAAGTAGCTTACATGTAGATGTATGTGTGTATATACACATCTGTACCACTAGCTTAAGAACCCTCTGTATAATATATTCTTCCAAAAAAGGAAAACACAGGGATTATTGCTTGTCGTTTTTTATTATTTTTTTTTTTTTTTTTTAATTGGGTTTTCTTAGGCAATTAGTCGATATTCATTCGGAGCCATTTTCGTCATGGTGCAGGGCTGATTCACAGATTTGCGGCAACTTCGTCTACTCAAGCCACTGCCAGCAATCAACGACAGCCCTCCTTCACATGCGCTAAACCCTAGACCCTAGACCCTAGACCCTAGACCCTCGACCCTAGACCCTAGACCCTAGACCCTAGACCCTGAAACCTAAACCCTAGACCCCAAACCCAAAACCCTGCTAAACCCTAAACCCTAAACCCTAGACCCTAGACCCTAAACCCTAGATCCTAAACCCTAAGCCGGCAACCGATTGCAGGCCAAACTCCAGGGCGAAGCCCCTTTGCTGACTGCGTGCCGCACGGGCATGGACAGCATTGTCCACCTCCTTCTGCAAGCCATGGCCAATCTGGACCAGGCCACTGTTCAGGGTTTTGTTGGGGTTTAGGGTTTAGGGTGTAGGGTGTAGGGTTTAGGGTTTAGGGCTGGTCGTTCAACCCTTAGAACTCCCACTTAGTCCAAAAGAGCGTGAATTCCACAGGCTCCTGCTTGGCCGTGGCCTGCCCAGAGCCCCATGCCGTAGACGAACGTTAAGCTGCTTAGTTTGCAGGAGTGTGCAAGCTTAACCTCTGCATTCCTTGGCAAAAATAGGGTCACGGTTGGGTCACGGTTGGTCTGGCGATCGCAGGCAAATGACAACGGCGAAAGCCCACTCTACCATGCCGCGAAGCAAGGCCTGGGTTTAGGGTTTGAGGCTTGAGGTTTAGGGGGGTTTATGGCTTCGGGCTGGGGCTGCCATTGGCTGCCATAGCAGAGTTTAGGGGTTCAGGATTTCACCATGTAGGGATTCACCTAGGCACTTGTTTTTCACGTCAAGGTTTCTCGTTGCAGCCATTTCTGTTTGGTAAAGATATAGGTGCCAGCCAGAACCTCATTCCAGGGTAGGGGAACCCTCGTCAACCGGAACGTAAAGGAGGGAGAAGGTTCCTTTGGACATTTAAGCCAGCCGACAAGAGGTCACGTGGAGTGTGCCCGCATTCTGCTGGAAGCTGGCGCCCTCACGGATCATTGCAGCTGCAATGGAAGGAATTCGGGTGGCACGCCCCTCTTCATAGCTCCTCGGACGAGGTTCGGGATCCCCTACTATAGGTTGTCGGAATGATGAGTAATAGTATTCTCTTAGGGCCCCTTTATTTTTATACTATAAGAACCTCCAAAACCCTACTCCAGTTATTCAGGCCCCTATATTGCACCCCTCACCCCCCCTCACCCCCCCTCACCCCCCTCACCCCCGGCCGCGGCGCCTTGAACTTAGGCTTCCGTCTGCGGCAACTTGAGCGTACTCCAGCTGCTCCTGCGATTCAGAGCAGATACGGAGCAGGCCACTGATGCTGGCAGCACCCCTCTAGGACCTGGGCTCACAAGGGCCTTAGAAGCTCATGAAGCTTCAGTTCAGGGCGTAGTCTACGGGCCTTCAGAATTAGAATAGGTGTTTACATTTTTTTTTTGGGGGGGGGGGGGGGGGCTTTTTGGAGTATAACTAGAAGGGGGCCATAGGGGAATACTATTTGTAGTTCTTCCGACCCCTACATTCTCAGATCTGTAGAGACTGTAGTTGGAAGATTGGACTTCCGGAGCTGTGGACAAGGGCTTAGGGATTAGGGTTTAGGGTTTAGGGTTCAGGGTTTAAGGTTTAGGGTTTAGGAAGATTCTCTCGCAACTGCCTTCCCTGCGCTCAAGGAGTTGCTTTTGACACCAACCGCCTGGACATGGCACTTTGTCTGTGATATCGGACTAGCATTATTTGGTTAGGAATCCCCCAAAAGATGAGGGGATAATCCATCTGTTCCCATATACCTAATAGTTGGTATTTCTTGTGTGGGTTCTTTAGCAAGTTCTAGCGGAGGTCGAAATAGTCAAAACATCAGTACTGACAGGAAGACGAAGAAGTTCAAGGACAGCATTTGCAAACAAGAGCCTACTCTGGTTGAACGAAACCCAGGTGCGTGGCATAGTTGTCGCACGTCCCACTTATCCAATGAACAAGTTGACTGTTACGTCGGCTGATGGTCGGCTGGCCGGGCAGACAGCAACCGATTTTCGATGTTTGTGGTGGGTTCCAGATACATGATCCGTTGCCCTGCCTGGCAGGGCCACAAACCACGAACAAATGGGATTGTTCGGACCATGTCTGCGGTGTTCCGGTAGCTGTCCTTCATTCTTCGGACGCAGGTGTACCGGTTGCTGTACCTGTTTTGCTTCGAAGTCCTTGAGACCTCGCTAACCCTATCTCATCCTATCTCTCAATCGCCGCTTCGATCTCTTGTTCTCGACTTCCGGACAGCAGCTGAGGCAACTATCTTGTTGGAACATGGAGCTGGCAAGAAGATGACTGGGTCAGCCGACATCATTCTGGACTTTGCAGCGTGGTTTCGCCCAGAGGAGCAACTCCTTCAACTTCCTCAGCCAAACGCCGCGACGTGTTTACCATTCCTCTAGGAAGCGATTCTGAAAGGAATCCCTTTGTACCAAACAAAACATCGTCCTAAAACCAGCAAAACAACCTCTTTCGGAAGCTGCCAAGTCGGAGCATGCCCAAAGTCGCCATATCTTTCTGCCACACAACCAAGTTCCGTAATGCATGATGGGTCCTGTCCTTGGGCGCCAGGACTACGGACCATTTTAGATCAGGGTCCCAAGAAGGGGACGATCATGGCACATCATCGTACTCGCATCTCCGAAGTCTCTATGCCCCAAACCCTAAACCCTGAACCCTAAACCCTGAACCCTGAACCCCAAACCCTAAACCCTAAACCCTAAACCCCAATCCCTAAACCCCAAACCCCAACAACCCCAACCCTAAAACTCGTTGCGGCTCATCGCTCAGCAGGATCGCCTGCTGTGTGCGGCAGCGCGGACAGGGCACCTCCAAGTCTGCCTCTTACTTGAGGGTTTAGGGTTTAGGGCTAGGGTTTAGGGTTTGGGGTTTAGGGTTTAGGGTTTAGGGTTGGGGGTGTTTTAGGGTTTGGGTTTAAATGGGGTCTAGGGTTTAGGGCTTAGGATTTCGGGCACTATTTCAGGGCCCTGGTTAGGAAGAAGACTATGGTTGTACATGAAAGAAGAGTTCCACTTGTCCTCTCTTACGGCATGGGACGGTGCACCCGAAACCCTAAACCCTAAACCCTGAACCCTAAACCCTAAACCCTAAAACCTAAAGCACGCTGTTGTAAGTTTCTCTTCGCACGCCCATTAGAAGTAGGACTGGAGCGTGTCTTTTTCGGACCGAGAGCCAAACTTGATTCATGCCTTCGTTCCTTCATGGGGTTTAGACCCTAAACCCTAAACCCTAAACCCTAAACCCTAAACCCTAAGCCCTAAACCCTAAACCTAAACCCTAAACCCTAAACCCTTAGGGTTTGGGGTCCCGGTTATCAGGGAACCCTACTATTTGGGGTCTATAGTCGGGATGCTTCCACTGCAGGAATCAGACTGGGTTTAGAATTTCTGCCTGCAGATGAAGTCAGCCGAGGTGGCCTCACGCCTACTGGAGGCCCATGCAGATGCCTGGATCGCACGCGATGGTTTAGGGTTCCCCTACTACCCCCCTCTTTTGTACTCCCTGGGTTCCCCCCCATAATTAAGGCCATTTAGGGTGAATTAGGCTGAATCAAGGTTATTTAAGGGGGAACCTAGGGGGGGGTGCGTATAGACGGGGGTAGTAGGGAATACTCGTGATGGATGTTTGGGCAAAACTCTCATGCTGGGCATGGAAGAGCTCACTTTGCTGGAGGGTCGGTCCTCTTGGGCATACTTGGGGGGCTATGCCTATTCTGGAAACTACCACACGGCAGGGAGATTTGAATTTCAGGTTGGGTCTCTACACCCGATTCCCGTTTCGGTATGAGGATGCAGAGGACAGAGGATGCATAAGAGCCAAGGACATTGATGCCTTCGACCCGCGATTTGAAGAAGGGCCCCTGACTGAAGCCTGTGCGTATGGTCGTCTGGACATGGTCCACATGCTGCTACAGGCTTGGGTTGAGGGTTGAGGGTTGAGGGTTGAGGGCTGAGGGCTGAGGGTTGAGGGCTGAGGGCTGAGGGGTGAGGGTTTAGGGTTCAGGGTTCAGGGTTCAGGGTTCAGGGTTGAGGGTTGAGGGGTGAGGGTTGAGGGTTGAGGGTTCAGGGTTCAGGGTTCAGGGTTCAGGGTTCAGGGTTCAGGGTTGAGGGTTGGGGGGTTGACAAAGGGGACGCATCCTTCGGGCCAATTAGCCGAACCGAACACGGACGAGGAATCCAGGCAAAGATAGCAACGACAGATGGGCATGCCGAGAACAGGGGTATTCCGTGACTATACCAAAAAGTGCTGTACTCCTTCTTGGTTTAGGAACTCCTGTCTTGAGCGTCATGGCTCTCTCCACTCGGGGGTTTAGGGTGCGGGGCTCAGGGCCAAGAGAGACGACAACGATTGGTGCTGCATCCACGATAGCATTTCCAACGCATTCGGTCCTCCAACAGGAATTGGCCGGTGCTGGGCCGCCCGAACTTCTCTGGCAAGAGAAGCCCTAAACACCCCCAAACCCGAAACCCTAAACCCGAAACCCTAAACCCGAAACCCTGCACCCGTTAGTTTTGGGGTTGCGTCTGTTCGGGTCCACTCTGCAGTGCAGTCTAGCCGAGTCGAGCCCTCAACTGCAAAGATCTACAAAGGAGGGTGATCTAGATTTTGGCACTTGTGTCAGCCCAAACACTGAAGCAACATACGATTAGAACCGAAGCTGCAAGAAGGGCACCCCAAGCATGCATTTCTCAGTATCTCGTGTCTTGAACCCACTTGCTCCCCTGAGGCACGCGCTGATGTCAATGGAAGAGCCGAAGTCTCAGGCCTTTACGCCGTGCCTGGGAATCCCTTTAGCAACAGTCTTCGAGATGATGGCTTACAAATTATGGGGTTTGGGGATGGAAGTCTGTCAAGCCTCAGCCACGACCCAGGCGTGCCAGTATGGCCACTTGGAAGTGGCGCGGCTGATGATTGAGGCACGCGCCAACGTCCAGCAGTGCACCCTTGACGGAATGGACTCCCTCATCGAGGCTTGTCGAGGTGGCTACCTGGAGGCAGCGGTAGATGAAATTTCGATTCGCCCCCCCCTCCCCCCAAAGCTCCTGCCCCGTCTCAAAAAAGGCTATTCAGTAAATTCAATATTACAGGCTCTGAGTCGCAATGGACGAGAGATGCCCAAGTGCCCTAGCCCAAAAGCCCTGTGCCCAAACTCCTCCACTTTTAATTTCCAACCCTGCAATGCCAGTATGTAGTACGTACCCGTAGTCCGTACCCTCACTTTCTTTTTCAAAGCCCCAAATGAACACAAGAGAGACAGCCTGTTCATTCTTAGGTTTCTGGGTGGGCCACCTAGAGCAGACATCCTAGCCCTGGAGTTTAGGATTTAGGATTTCCCTAAACCACTAACCCCAAAATCCCAAACCCTATAACTAATTCCGCAGGTGGTGCACCTGCTACTGGAGGCTCGCTCCCGGATTGGGGGAGCCTTGGTCCCTCACAGAGATCTTTTAACAAGAAAGAGCAACAACTTCAGGGTCGGTTCAGGGTCTTGGGTTAGGCTTTAGGGTGTTACCCTTTTATTCCTAGGTCTGTCTCCAGGTCCTTTCTTCAGACGTCCCTAGACCTAAGCCCTGTGGACCCTAAGCCCACGCAGCAGCCGGGAATTTGGCGAAACCCGCAGCCCAAGAAGATCCGCAATTCCTAGCGTGAACAACTCCTCCACCCACAGGTTTTGGAGCTCAGGGTTCAGCAATCAGGGTTTAGGGTTAGGGTTCAGGGTTTCGGGTTTCGGGTTTAGGGTTTAGGGCTCAGGGTGAAAGCAAGCTTGATCAAGATCCTGCGACCAAGCCAAGATATGGCCGTCTATGGCGAGACGCCGCTCTCAGAAGCCTCCCGATACGGTCACCAGGCAGGCCCTTGGTATATTCTTCATACTCTTTTGCCTCTATCGGTTGCAGAGGATCCTGTCTAGGAGGCATCAAACCCTAAACCCTAAGCCCTAAACCCCAAACCCCAAACCCCAAACCCCAAACCCTAAACCCTAAACCCCAAACCCTAAACCCTAAACCCTAAACCCCAACCTCCTAGCCCTTTTAAACTGCGGACCTAGGCCATGCCGAGGTGGTCCGGCTGCTGCTGGGCAGAGGTGGGGTAAGACAGGGAGGGAGCCGAAGAGCAGACGTCAGAGGATCGGTTTAGAGTTTAGGGTTTGGGGTTTAGGGTTTGGGGTTTAGGGTTTGGGGTTTAGGGTTTGGGGTTTAGGGTTTAGGGTTTAGGGTTTAGGGTTTGGGGTTTAGGGTTGGGGTTCAGGGTTCTTACGCAGGGGAAGGGAAGAATTCCTCTTCTGGGATGCCCCTGACATGCTCCTTATGCCTCGGGTTTTTGGAAAAGGCGTTTTTTTTTTTTTTTTTTTCCAGCTCACTGGGCAACCTAACCTGTAGCTGCTCACATAGTTGCATGGCGCTCAGCCTGTGATCTGCATTGCGAGTCGGACAGTGCCACAAGAGATCCGCAAAAGGTCGGGGCATGACCGACATGTTGGAAACTTCGATGATGGACCCTAAACCCTAAACCCTAAACCCTAAACCCCAAACCCTAAACCCTAAACCCCAAACCCCAAACCCCAAACCCTAAACCCTGAACCCTAAGACCCTAAGACCCTAAAACTCGAAACAGCAAGGTGCCCCGGTGGACGGTGCCCCGGTGAAGCCTCCTCTGGCCGCTGCGGCTGGCTGGGGACACGTGGAGGCAGGGAGTAAACTCATGCCATCTGAGCCCTGCAGCCAAGAACATAGGGTTTAGGGTTTAGGGTTTGGGGTTTAGGGTTTAGGGTTTAGGGTTCAGCAGCTGAATTCCAAACACCACTGTCCTGGGGCTTCGTCGATTCGTGGGCTTCGGGCTTAGGGTTTAGGGTACCACACATGTTGCAACCTCGCTCTTGGCAGGTGCTCCGACTATTGCTGGAGGCACGAGCTCAGGCACGGCTCGTCCTTGCCGGGAACACCTCTCGGCTCTTGCTTGAGGAGCGCCTATCTTGAGTTACCCACAATGGGGTCATGCAATATCCTTACTTCGGTCCAGCTTTTGAGCTCAGGCTCAGCCAAGAATGAGCTTGGTGCGCAGGTGGATGCGGTTCTTCCCGGCGACGCGGGCGAGACGGCCCTCTCGGAGTCATCGCGCTACGGCCACGGCCTTGCGACCCGCGTGTTGCTCGAGGCAGTGGGGGGTTTTGCTCCGTGCAGGACATCGGGCTTCAGTACTTACATCGCTGGTGTTTCGAAGCTTTGCCGAGAGGTTGGATTTGGGAGTGAGACTCCGCACAACAAACCCCCTTGCAGTCCCCCAAGATCCCAGAAAGGCATTCAGGGCCCCCGAAGCCGACTTGAGCAGCCAGGCGGGCGCCAGCGTCGACGCCCACGGAGCTCTTCTTGCAGCCTCGGGGTATGGGCACCTGGAGGTTGTCTCCCTATTGCTGGCGGCCCGTGCGCAGGCTGGGGCCTCCCAAAATCGTTGAAGCTCAAGGCCTCTGCGTTCGTCCCTCTAAGCCGAAGGGCCCAAGGCCACAAATAATAAGGTCTTTGGGTTCCAAAACAGATGAAAAGAGCTTAGGTAATGGGGTCTTGGGCCCTTAGGGTAAGTTTCCTTTTCCATGGGCGCATTCCGTGACGTCTGCCTCAGGAGTGTAACCCTGTTTACCCAGCCTCATCAAGCGGGCTTCTGTGTTAAGCCTGCTGGCAGGGTTTCAGAGCATCTGAAGCTCCAGCCTCTTGGTAGATCTTGGTAGCCCTATTGCCTACAAGCGGCTTCTTATGGCACCACGTAACTTGTATCTCCAAAGAACCCTGTTTGGGGTCTCTGGTCCACAGTCTCCACCGCAATGCCACCAACGACTCGTAAGCGCCAGAGCGCGGCTGAAGACCTCAAAGTTGAGCCCCAACCCCAACTGAAAGGCATAACTAAGCCTTGTAGAGTTGTACCCGTGGATATCTTACCTTTCCTCTCCTGAAAACCCCAAATCCTAAACCCTACACCCTACACCCTACACCCTAAACCCTAAACCCTAACCCCTAAACCCTAAACCCTAAACCCTAAACCCTAAACCCTAAACCCTCAAGCTCCTTCTGCTGCTCTGCGCAGGTGGGCCTGCAAGATGAGTCGGGAGATACGGCCCTGGCTGTGGCCGCGCGGCACGAGCACCTGGAGGTGGTCCGCTGCCTCGTTTGGGCCGGCGGGTAAAAAGATGTCCAGCACGCGCATAGGGTTTAGGGTTTAGGGTTTAGGGTTTAGGGTGTAGGGTGTAGGGTGTTTAGGGTTTAGGGTGTTTAGGGTTTAGGGTTTGTTGGGTTTAGGGTTTAGGGTTTTTCGAGTTTAGGCTTTAGGGTTTTTCGGGTTTAGGCTCTAGGTTTTAGGGTGCGCATGTGAGCGGGGAGGTTTTGCTTTTCTTTATGTAGATAAAAGCCCTAGACCCTACCAAGACCCTACTACGAACCAGTTTGGAGTTGTAGGGCGGACGTGTGTCTCAGATACCTGCATGACATCGTGGGCATCGTGCACTGCGATGTGAAGCCGGACAATCTCCTCCTACGCCGGGCCTTAACCTTCCGGGTTTAGGGTTCAGGGTTTAGGGTTTCTCTAGGGGATGAGGGAATTTGGGGTGCACAAAAATAGTATCCCTCAAAAAGGCTAAGATGTGGGGGCATGTAAGGTGCAAAACTCTTCGTTCCCTGCTACGAGCTGCGCAAGTAGCTTTGCAACCATGGGGCAAACGCAGGCTTGCTCAGAGTTTGCAGTAAGACGGTTTCAATTGGTATGGTTTGAATTGGTATCGTTTTTCAGGGGCCCTTTTGTCTGCAAAGGCTGAAACCTCAAGCCCTGCGCCCTAAATCGCGCACCAACCGGTTCGGACTCTCTTGCTCAGCTTTTTGTGCTGCTTAGGATCGAGGGAGTCCTAGCGAAGTGGGAGGAAAGCAGGGCCACACATGGCCGACGCTTGGTTTACACTTTTCAAAGTCAAAGACCCCTAAGCAAGTGGCCCATATCAGGCAACCCTACCACGCAGTACTCCTAAACCCTAAACCTTAAGCCCCAACCCCTGAAGCCTAAGCCCAAAACCCAAAACCCAAAACCCTAAACCCTAAACCCTAAACCCTAAACCCTAAACCCTAAACCCTAAACCCTAAACCCTAAACCCTAAACCCTAAACCCTAAACCCTCCCCCCAAATTCCCATGCATCTCCCAGGTTGGGATGGCCTCGCGGTGAAGCTCTGCGACTTCGGCACAGCCAGGCCGAGCAGTCCGCAAGGGCATCTAGGGTTTAGGGTTTGGGGTTTAGGGTTTAGGGTTTAGGGTTAGGGCTCAGGGTTCAGGGTTCAGGGTTTAGGGTTTAGGGTTTAGGGTTTAGGGTTTAGGGTTTAGGGTTTAGGGTTTAGGGTTGAGGGGGTTTTGTAAGGTTTTGTAAGGTTTGGGGTGTAGGGAGTGAGATAGGGAACCTCTAACCCGTTGTTTTGGTTCAGGGGTTTAACATTCGGGGCTTAAGATTTTGTCCGTGACTATCTGGTTATCTCGCGTTGATATGGCAGAGGGGTTTTGGGGTTTGGGGGGGTTGGGATGCACGGCTCGCGTCGAGCTGGGGGTGGATCGTCGAAGCCATGAGCAATATGTGCAGTTATGCGCCCTGTGCGCCCTTAAGCCGGGATCCGGAATCCTAAACGCTGGGGAAGTCTCTCGTCTGACAGGTTTCGGGATTTTCGGCGCCGTAAATCCATTTATCCAACCCTTTAAGCAGTCACATGAGGGTTCCCCCCAACAATGTCCCCCTAAAATCTCTCATTTCCTGCACTCTTGCCTCCTGAAGCCCGGGAAGGTGAGGGGGGGGTGGGGGATATCAAGCACTCATCACGACTTCCGCTTCGAAGGCCGTCGCCGGAGCTGCAGAACACGGACTGTCCTCTAAGGGTTTCCCTAAACCCTAAACCCTAAACCCTAAACCCTAAACCCTAAACCCTAAACCCTAAACCCTACTAAACCCTAAACCCTGAGTGTTCAGGGTGTTACAGCTTCGGGCTTTTTGGGTGTTTAGCGCTTTTCGGGTCTCAGGATTTGGGCTTCAGGGTCTCAGGAGTTCAGGGTAGACTTCGCGCCGGTCGGCCCTTTTTTATACATCATATATGTATATATACATATTGATATTGTGGTATACATATATATACATATACGTATATACATATATATATATGTATATATATATATATATGTAGAGGGATTGGGGTTAGGGAAAAGGATCCTAGGCGTGTTATGGGGGCTCCTTTTGTTTGGGCCTGGTTCCCCAACCCTCCAAGCAGGACTCTACAGGATCGCACCAGGAGGCTTAGGGTTTAGGGTTCAGGGTTTAGGGTTTAGGGTTCAGGGTTTAGGGTTTAGGGGTACGAGAATAAGAGACCCCGATTATAGACCCCCTAATGGTATAAGTTTCGTAGTCAAAAGGGCCCGACCCTAATAAGGAGTACCCCTAATGTCATACACCCCCAAAAGGGAGTCCGCCAAAAAGGGCTTGAGAGGGTGAGCCCGTTCCAAACGAAAGATGCTTAAGCCAGGTGGCAGTTTTCAAGTTGGCTCCCATTGGTACTTTTCAAGGAGTCAGGCAGTTTGGGACTGAGTCATCCAGGACGAGCTACAACCGCTCTTCTACCGTGCGCCCGAGGCGATGCCCCAAGTTTCAGGGAAAGGTTCTCTCCATAGGGGGCGGTCGATTCAGCGCTTACCAGCCCTTGCGTTGAATCCTGCGCTTATGTCTTGATGTGCTGGTTGCCGGGGCTTGGAAGCTTGGAGGGTGCCCAGAGCTGCGGTCTTGTCCATCATTGAGCGGCGCATCAGGGTTAGCATGGATCGCAGGGCCACAACTCTCGCAACTCCCGCTCTCACTAGTACTGCTGCAGTACTGCTGCAGTTCTTCTGGTTATCCTTTAATTGATCCTCATCATCACCCTCATCATCACAACTTTTGTGGTCATCTTATCATTGCTTGTTATTAATGTACTGTTGCCCCCCCCCCCCACAAAGTCTTGTGTAGAAGAGTGTATTCGGGCTATCTGGGGATCACCGCAGTGGCTTCTTACCAGCTCTCGATCCTCTTTCCGTGGTGGAAGGACTGTCCAATTATGCTGCATATACGAGTCGGCGTGATGTGTGCCATTGGCTGCGTGATCGTTGTGTATGTCAATTTCTGTTACTATTGCGATTGCTATCGCCAAGAACTGTTAGTCATGATACATACGTTTACGAAGTACTGTTGCCAAAACTGATGCTGTTCCTGTTACGAGTGCTGTTACTCTTATGACGCCATTGTGACTATGACTGGTTGGTATGACAAACTATGACTATGCTTATGGCTATGGTGATTGCGAGTACCATTGCCAGTGCTGCTAGTACCGGGACTATTCCCGCTTCTTTTTCATCATTCTGATCATGTTGAATTTCGGTTGACGAATCCCAGCTGCTGACTTACAAATATAGCACAGCACCGTAGTCTTGCACAGCACTGGACCTTAGTCGAAGGTCCTGCTGGGCTGCACTCGTGGCCGCAAGATCGATGTTTGGTCAGCTTCCTGGCAGCAAGCCCTGACGGCCTGAATAGTGTATGGGTCGGAAGAATCGAATTACTCAGTTGATGAATTGATGTTGAATTCTTTAGGCCCTTATAGTACTGAAGTGGCAAGGTTTTTAGGCTTCTTGGCTGAAAGCCCTGTTGACTGACGGTCCTCAACATTCCTCGACCCCATTTCTCTGCAGCCTTGCAAAGCCGGGGTGCCTAGGATCGACAGTTTGCGTATGACTTCTTCGCTTCCGGAGTTCCACCATCGAGCTAGAAAGGGTTTAGGGTTTAGGGTTTAGCAGGCTGCGGATATCTGTGTCACCTGTCGCCTGGGTCTAAACTTTTGGGACCCTGACCGTCTTGTCACCTTTAGCAACATTGGACATGGAGCCTCCCAATCCACTTGCCTTCGCAAGTGGCACGAACTGGAGGCTCCGTTTAAAGTGGCTTAGCACCGTTTAGGAGCTTCGGGCTCAGGGTTTCGGCCGAGGCTGCGCTGACGATCTACGAGCTCATCGTCGGCAGGATCTACCTCCGCAACTGCCACACGCCGCGCGAGGCGGCCAGGGTCTGCTTTCGTCTTTCAAGGGGGCGCCTTGTGGAAGCAAAATGGACCCTAAACGGGTTCACGGGGTAGGGTCAACGCTTTAGGGTCTAGGGTCTAGGGTCTAGGGTTTAGGGTTTAGGGGTTCAAAAGCCGGAGTGGGAAGTTCTAGTAGTAAGGGCATATCACCCCCAATTCTAGCGTTCATGTGGTTCCCAAGGCAGGAGTTGCCTGGTGAGGGGTTTATGGGGTTCATAGGGTTTATAGGGTTTGTAGGGTGTGTGGGGTTTATAGGGTTTACAGGGTTTATAGGGTCCATAAACAATACAAAGCCCTATAGAAGCCTCTATGAACCCTAGAAATCGAATAAAACCCCATAAGCCCTTGAATCCCTATAAACCTTATGGTTTATGGGGTTGATAGGGTTTATGGGGTTTATAGGTTTTACGGGTTTTATTCGGTTTATAGGGTTTATAGAGGGTTTCATGGGGCTTTATGCTGTTTATAGGGCTCAGGTGGTTTGTAGGGTTTATAGTGTTTTATGCGGGTTAGAGGGTTTACAGGGTTCAGGGGCTTTATGGGGTTTATAAGGTTTCATGGGGTTCAGAGGGTCTAGGGTTTTTATGGTTCAGTGTGTAGGGTGCAGGGTGCAGGGTGTAGGCCCGCAGTGGCAACGTCGGGGGGATGACTCTGGGCTCACTATACGAAGCTGCAGATGGAAGGGGGGAGTGGGGCTGGGGTGGTTTATTGAGATTGCGAAATGAGTACCCCTAAACCTAAACCCAAAACCCTCAGCCCTAAGCCCTAAACCCTAAACCCTAAACCCTAAGCCCTAAACCCTAAACCCTATAAAACCTAAACCCTTTTTCCAGGTCTTAGAGGAGATCATGCAGCTCCGCGGGCCGGCGCGCACCCCAGCTCGTCCAGACGCGTCAGATGCCTCTAGCGGAATTAAGGCTCACCGGGCTTAGGATTCAGGGTTTAGGGTTTAGGGTTTAGGATTTTGTGGTCCCTAAACCGGGTTTCAGTTGCAATGTCTTTTCATAGAGGTTCCTTGGGGACTAAGGGGGCTAAGGTTTGGCGTGTGGGGTTCGGCATTTTAGGGTTTAGGCTTTCAAGGGGACCCATGTGATTTAAGCCCTGAACCGCACAGCTTCGGAATAGCAGCCTCGTAATGCATGCCCCTGGAGCACATAGGTCCCCCCCGCAGAGATGTGCGTGGTGGCTATGTGGCCCGAAGCCCAACGTACGTCCTACTTCCCATAGCCCGGTGCCCTGAACTCTAAAACCCTTAACCCTTAACTATGTACCTCTACCCCTTTACCCCTGCTCCCCAAACCCTAAGCATCCGTAAACCCCTTTTTGCCCAGGCACCGCCGGAGATGCGAACCCAGGGACGTTCCCCGACTCGAAGATGAAAAGGTTCTATTGGTTGGTGGTCTCTTTAAGTAGGGTTTCTGTTTGTAGGGGGTTCTTGTTAAAGGGTATCTTGGGGCTATATCAAAGTTTCAGGGTAGCAGATTAAGACACCACCGGCCTTTAGAATTTAAAGGCGTTTGCATGCGTTTTGAGGTGTAGCTTGGGCTTGGCTTGGGGTACCCGGGGAGAAGAGTTTCAAGCTTCTGCCTCCCTGAACCAAACCCTAAACCCTAAACCCCACACCCTAAACCCTGAACCCTGAACCCTAAGCCGTACAATGGCTCGCGAATTTCCCAGCCAGCTGGTTTGGGATTCCGGCAGCACGTGGTGGGGTGTAGCGGGTTGTTCGACCCACTACCATAAACCCGATAAACGCTCTAAGCCACCCTAAAGCCTACAAAGAACATTGCCCGCCATGAAGGCCTGTTAAGTGAACCTCCTAAACCCTATGACCCCATAAGCCCTTAGAATGCATCCTTCGACGCTATAAGCCTACAAGCCCTTAGCCCTCAACCCGAACACCAAAACCCGAAAATCGAAACCCACAACCCGAAACCCGAAACCCTAAACCTTAAACCCTGATCCCTGAACCCTCAACCCGAAACCCTAATCCCCAATAACTAAACCCGAAACCCTATGCCCCCTAGAATCCATCCAAAGCCTCAGCACCTCGAAGTGGCACCAGGCCTCAGCGCGGCGTACTTCAGCGCGAAGGGCTTCCACACGGAGGCAAGTCCAGGGTTCTTCGGGCTTAGGGTTTGTAGGGTTTAGGGTTTGGGGTTCTTAGGGTTTGGGGTTCTTAGGGTTTAGGGTTCTTAGGGTTTGCAGGGTTTGGGGTTTGGGGTTTGGGGTTTAGAAGTTGTTTGGGAGGTGTGCTCAAGTCGGCTTTGGTTTGTCAGGGCTCCGTCTTATGGTAGGGGCTTCTCATCTTACAGCACTTGTTGGTATCAGGAGAAGGCCACATAGTCTCCGGAGCATCTAAGCCTTCAGAAGCATTGGCAGTATCAGAATCTGTCGGACAGCGATTCTGGAAGCATGTTGCCTTCATTTTATTTGACACCATTGTCTACTATTTGTTTAAGAACCCCCCCAACAATGAATACTATCGGGATTGTTATCTTAGGATTTTTTTTTTTTTTTTTTTGGGGGGGGTGGTTCTCAAGCAAACTTTAGTTATAGTTGCTGTTCTTGATCATCAGGGTTCTGGTCGCTCGTTACCTGGGTGCTGGGACTCTTCCTACGCATGAATCCTTTGGGCTCTCTGGGCAGGGTTGTTTCTGAGCATGAGGTAAAAAATATAAAATCAATAGCAATAATAGAAATAGTAAATAATAGAAATAATAATGGAAATAAAATAGCAGCAAAATACTGAATACGATTGGGACAATGGATTCGTATCCACGCCCCTGCTCCACCTCCGCAGACGCGGCAAATTGTGGATCCGGACAGCTACGAGAAGCGGCCGGGGGCCAAGAACTGGCAAACCGTACCGGGGGCTGCTTTGGGATAGGGGCACCCTGTTTTATGCACCTCAAAGGTTTAGGGTTTAGGGTTTAGGGTTAGGGCAAAATTCTGGGGCCTTTATGTTTACAAGCCCCCCCCCCCCACCCGCCCAAGCCCTAAGCCCTAAGCCCTCAATTCAGGAGGTCTCACAGCATGCACAGGATGGGCATGCCTGTGAGCAGCCTGTTGATCATGACCAGCTGCAAGGCTGAAGTTGCGCCCTAAACTTTAGGGTTCAGGGTTCAGGGTTTAGGGTTCAGGGTTTAGGGTTTAGGGTTTAGGGTTTAGGGACCCTCAGCCCTACACCCGCAGCCCTATAGCAACTGTCCCCGAATCCCGTGCGCATGTCCAGGGGACACATGTTTAGTACTACTTGGTTGAAGGCAATGATTCACCACGCTGAAACATCCCACGTGCGAACACAAGCTTCCAGCATTTTGAGCAGAGGCTGCCGGGGTGCGAGCAAAGGAGCCTATACTCAGGTCTAACATCGGAACTTGAGACACAGATTCTCATCTGCCTCTCAAGCACCCGATACCACAAACGACGCCACTAGTCATCTGAGTCCTCCCCCATCCCTGGACCATCACAAGACCAAGTTCCTGGAAAAAGTCTGTCGGCAAGAGCACAGAGAAGTGGCAAACCAAACGCGAACCCTACACCCTAAACCCTGAACCCTATACTAAGTTGGGCGTTTAGTTCCTTCCAGGGCCCTAATTACTAAACCCACCTTGCAGCCTCCAAAGCAAAAGGTCCCTTTGGACCGAGCTAAGCCCTTTCGCCGACTATGGCAAGGCGCGCTTTTTGGCGATTTTTTTTTTTTGCCGGGGGGGGGGGGGGGCTTTGAAAGGGTTCAGGGGTAAGGGCTTAGAGTTTAGGGTTTGGAGTTTATGGTTTAGGGCTGACCGAACCCGACAAATTGCTCCAAACTACGAGAGGGTTCTTGTGTTCGGTGGTTGGAAATCGGATCCTCCTTAAGCCGAGGGAGGGATCCCGAGCCGAACCTGGAACCCATGTACGCCCAATTGGGTTCTGGGCCGGTTTAGGTCTTTGAAGGGTAGTTGTTGGGATGTTCCCCCGTATGCTAACCTTTATTAGAATCCCTGTTAAGGACTGTTAGTATAAGAAGAGCATCCCAAGTGATGAGGTACACAACCAAGCCCGAAACTGTATAAGCCCTAATCGCCAAGCCTTTAACTCTAAACCATTGAAGTTCAGGGTGTAGGGTTTAGGGGTACAAAAGATCCTCACCAGCCGCTTAGCCTTTCAAATCGTCCTTAAGGATGCTTAAATGTTTAAAGCACATGTTCCAGGAGAACAAGAAAACAGCTCAGGAGCAGGCGCGTTTGCCCAGTCCTCTTCCAGCACCGAGTTGCTCCAAATATCTCGAAAGATTTAGGGCTTAGGGTTTAGGGTTTAGGGTTTACGGCTTAGGGTTTAGGGCTTAGGGTTTAGGGTCTAGGGTTTAGGGTTTAGGGTTTAGATTCCAACTATCCGCTGCGAATGTAAATTACGCCTAGAAGGTTCCTATTGTTTAGCGGCTGGGGTTGCGGCGGAGAGTGCCTCTTTACACCTTCAGACCCAGGTAAACAATTGCAAGCAGTTCAATCACCCTAAACCCTGAACCCCAATCAGAGCTTCTGGATGCGGGTCCCTAAACCCTAAAATGACATCTTTGCATGTGACCGTGGGCACTGTATGGATGATCTGGGGTTGGGCATGCTCCAGGAGAACCCTAAACCCTAAACCCTAAACCCGAAGCCCGAAACCCGAAACCCTAAACCCTAAACCCTAAACCCTAAACCCTAAACCCTAGCTGGGCTTGACAGTCGAATTTCTGGGACTTGCCACTTGCAGCCAACGAGCTCCGTCAACCTCTACTCTCCAATCTCTTGCTGAAGCCGTGCAAAAAATCATGGGTTTCGGGTTTGGGGTTTGGGGTTTGGGGTTTGGGGTTTGGGGTTAGGGTTCAGGGCGAAAGGATTTTAGGGCTAAGGTTGATAGTCTCAGCCTCAAGCGCCATCCTTGTCTTAGACACAAGTTCTGAGTTCACAGACCCTGCGTCAACTGGACCAACTAAACACTAAACCCTAAACCCTAAACCCAAAGCCCAAAGCCCTAAACCACAGCTCCGAAGCTTCATCCCAAATCTCGAAAAGGCGAAAGCGCAGCTCAGTCGGCTAATAGGTGCCATCACAGCTGCTTGGCAGCTGTGTTCGGTTCTTTGTTCGGTCTTTGCTTGGGCGCAGGGTCTTCTGCCTGCCTGCTGGCAGGAGGGGTTTTCACGCAGGGCTGCTTGTCTGTGTTTCATTTGCGTGAGCTAAAGCCGCGTTGGCAGCTTTCGCTTCGCGGGTAAATCTGTAATTTCTGGTCTCCCGTTTGGGTGCTTTAGGGCCCATATGCAACGAACAAAAGCGTGTGTGTGTGTGTATATATATATATATAGATGGGCAGGCAAGTGGATAGATAGGTTAGATACACAGTTTGGTGGACTACTGTAGATAGGTTTGATAGAAAAGATCAGCTGGACTGGATCCGATGAGTTTGGCCAGGCTTAACCAGGCAGATAGACAGACAGATAGATGACCCTAAACCCTAAACCCTAAACCCTAAACCCTAAACCACAGCTTCAGGTAGTTGGCGCCTCGCAGAAGCGATCAGGCCCCGAGCTGAAATTCCTGTGAAGTTGTTGCCTTAGCATGTTCCGAACAGTCTTTTTTAGGGATTCAGGGATTCAGGGTTTAGGGTTTAGGGTTTAGTACCCCCTAGTATATTCCCTTGGGGGAAGATCCCAAGCTTTGTCCCTTTAGGGCACGGCCCCTGAGACGTTGATGTCATTTGTGCACGGGAGGCATTGCAGATGCGGCAGACGTGAATAAAGTTGGTGAGGATGAGGTTTGCCAGTGTAGTCGCATGGTCTTTTTTCGAACCGTTGGCAGGTGGGTGGGGCGGCTTGCTTGGTGAGGGGGGCAGGCCCCACACTGCACAGTAATCGCCTCCTGAAGACTCTGATGATACGGATACTGTGGACGATTCTTACCCGACTCAACCACAAGCACAACCTCAAACTCCACACCCTGAACCCAAAGCCCCATGCGGAACCAGAAGAGAATGGAACCGGGACGGAACCGGAACACCGCAACAGAATTTCTGGGTTCGTTTCCCTAAACCCTAAACCCTACGCAAGTTCTGCTCTTCGTCCAGGCCCCACCGCCGCAGAGAAGCGGTTGAGACAACTTGCTGAGCTCCTCGACAGGCGCCTCGATGCTTTGGGTTTCAAGGATTGGTTTAGGAGCTTAGGGTTTAAGGGTTTAAGGGGTTCAGGGCTTAGGGTTTCGGGTTTAGGGTTCAAGGATTTATGGGTTTAGGGTTTAGGATTGAGGACATTGGGTTTAGGGTTTGGGGGGTTTAGGATGTCGGGCGTAGGCCCTAGGCATCCCTAGGCTTTATAGAGACTTTGACCGACTGAGGGTTGACTTTATTGGAGGAAAAACACGAGCTCCATGCTATTCAGAGGTCTTCCCCTTTTTTCCTGAACTTCACCGGCCTGCCTCCCTGCGTAGACTTTGGTGCGCGCCTGTGGCGTTCTTTGTTTGTAGCCCTATAAACCCCAAAAACCACATAAACGCCATAAACTCGCAAACCCTATAATCCCAATGACCCCTAGCCTATACCCCAAAGGAAACAAACAAAACCCAAAAACCGGGGTGCGTAGGTGCACCTGGTATTTAGATCAGAACTGCACGTGGTCGATTGATTGGACCTCCGAAGTAGCCTTGTAAGCAAGGGCTTCGATCATCGGGTTTAAGGGTTCAGGGCAGGGCAGAGGGTTTAGGGTTCACGGTTTAGGGTGGCAAGCCCTAAACCTTACCGTAGGAGAGAGAGAAGGTGCGGGTGTGGCGAAATAGAAAAGTTGGCCTGCTAGCAAACCTGAACCCTCAAGCCGTAAAAGGAGCCGGAGTGTGGCAAAAACGGAGACGTGGTGTGGCAAACCATGAACCATAAAACGCCCCCCGAAAGGAGACGTGGTCTGGCATACCCACAACCCTACAAGGAGATGTGGTGTGGCAGAGATGAAGATGGGGGCCGATGGGGTGTTGCAAACATGGAGATGGGGTGTGGCAAGCCCTCAACCCTGAACGGAAATGTGGTGTGGCAAACCCCAAGAGCCCCCGAAGGGAGACGTGGCGCGGCAAACCTCTGAGCGGGAAAAAACTCTGCCGGCCTGGGGCGGCAAACGTGGAAGCAAGCCTTGCCCGGAGGTCTGCCCGGAGGTCTGCGTGCGCTATTGAGGCGTTTCTATGTGTGGTTTCGGGGCTTACGCTAATGTGCACTCGCGAGGCTTCTTGATGTGCGCTTATGCCCTCTAGCCCATCAGCCCTATGAACCCTATAACCCCATTTTGAACCCCATACGCCATACGCACTACACAAAACCAACCCACGCACCACGAACCACAGGGAGGGGGGGGGGGGGGAGAGTGGGAGGGTGGGAGGGTGGGCGTGAATGCAGGCACAGCGCATACAAAACCCTATAGCCCCACAACCTGCAAACCCTAAACCTCCAACCCTCAAACCCTCAACCCTATAACCCAAAAAACCCTATAAACCCTACAACCCGCACAAACCCCTATCAACCCTATGAAACCTATAAACCCTGTAAACCCTATGAGCCCTGTAAACCCTAGAGCCCCTAGAAACCCCATAAATCCCTGAAAATCCCTGAAAATCCCTATAAACCCTGTAAACCCTGTAAACCCTACAGCCCCTATAAACCCTATAAACCCTATAAACCCTGTAAACCCTGCAAGCCCTAAGCCCTAAGTCCCCCAAACCTGAGCTCCGCCCGTGCAGGTGCCTGGAGGTCGGCAGCCAAACCAGACTTTTGGTTCCTTGTGCTAAGGGTATGCTTAGAATCGTGTAGGGTTTAGGGTTTAGGTTTTGGGGGGGCTTACGCTGCGGATGCATCACCCTCTCCCATGTGCAAGCAGCCTTAAAAGGGGGGCCCTCATGATTTCTTTGAGCATCGCCGAGGTCGACCCCAGCAAGCGGCTCACTTCGGCGGAGGCGTGCGAGATGGAGGTCTTCCAGGCTGGGGAAAGTGCTGGGAAGCCGTTTGGAGGTCGGGTCAGTGAGGCTTGGGGGGAGCCGTCCTTCAGTCTGATTCGGTGCGTATGCGGGTCATCCTGTCTCGAGTCAGGTGTGTAATGGCCAGCCACAGGGCGCTTCGCCGGTTTCAAGCTTGCGGTTCCATGTCCACAGGCAATAAGGTTCAATCAGGAGGTGGAAAATGCTTTCCATGCCCGTGCGGAAAAGCAGTCAACAGGAGTGGCTTGGCCCGGGAGTTTGGCATGCGACCGACCGCGGATTCAGATTTAGGGTTTAGGCCGTTTTTTTGGAGGGGTTTAGGGTTTACAGGGTCCAGGGTTTATAGGGTTTATAGGGTTTAAGGGGTTATAGGGTTTAGGGTAGTTTAGGGTTTAGGGTGTATAGGGTTCAGGGGATCTAGGTGTTTAGGGTGTTTGGCTCGCCCCCTTCACCCCTGGCGTGAGGCGGTGGAGCTCCCGCCCACGGTCGACTTGCAGGAGGCCAGTAATTTGGGTTTCAGGGTTCAGGGTTTAGGGTTTAGGATTGTATTGGGGGGGGTACGAAAATCCCGATTAAGGAATGTGGTTAGTATTGTAAGGGGGTACATCCCAAGGGTGGAAAGTCCAGAGTTTATATTCTGCGGGTTTGCAAGGTTTCGGTTTCAAGATTAGGTTTATGAGGTGTTTGTTTTCAAGTTTCAAGTACAGGGTGTTAGGGCTTAAGTTTAGGGTTTGAAGCATGTCGGGTTTACGTATCTTTGCAACATGAAAGCTTGTACAAAAAAAAGTGAAGGACAACCGGGCACCCAAACCACAACACCCCAAAACCCCCCAAACCCGAGATCCCCAACCTCTTCAAACCCTAATCCCTAAGCCTAAACCTACAACCCTGAACCCTAAACCCTGAACCCTAACCCCAAAACCCAAAACCGTACAACCCTAGACCCCTTAAACTCGAAAAGTCAGCAAGAAACCTGCGATCCTCGCGTCCCAGGCGCCTCCACTTCCGGAGGAGGCCCCGCCGCCTCTGCCCCCAGGCGCACCGCCACCGCCGGGCGCCCTGGGGGGTCAGTATAGGGTTTAGGGTTTAGGGGTTGGGGTTTAGGGTTTAGGGCTTGGGGTTTAGGGTTTAGGGTTTAGGATTTAGGGTTTAGGAGTTCAGGAGTACAGGATTTTTGAAACCTTGAGGTCTGTAGGGTTTTAGGACGTTTTAGGGTGGTCTTTAGGGTCTTAGGGATGTTTTCGGGGTTTAGGATGGTTTAGGAGTTCAGGGTTTTGGAACCTCTTTGGGGGCTCCAGATTTGCCATTGTCAACCGCCGTGAGTTGCAGCAGCATCGGTCAATCATGGGACTGCGTGCTTTGAAGACGGTGTCAGGTTGTGCAGGCGCTTTGTGTTAGGCCAGTCAACCATTCCCAAAGTGTGGGAATCTACAGAGCGCCATGTTGCCCTAAACCCTAAACCCTAAACCCTAAACCCTAAACCCTAAACCCTAAACCCTAAACCCTAAACCCTAAACCCTAAACCCTAAACCCTAAACCCTAAACCCTAAACCCTAAACCCTAAACCCTAAACCCTAAACCCTAAACCCTAAACCCTAAACCCTAAACCCTAAACCCTAAACCCTAAACCCTGAACCCTAACCCTAAACCCTAAACCCTAAACCCCTAAAACCCTAAGCCCTAAGCCCTGAACCCTGAACAACCCTAACCCTAAACCCTAAAGCTAAGCCTAACCCTCAACCCTATGTGTCACGACCCCCCCCCCCCCCCCCCCCCCCCCCCCAAGCCCGAAGTGCTCAGCTTGTGAGGCTCGAGGAAGCAAAGTGATCCGGATCTGGGGAGACACAGCTGGAGATGTCTTGAGACGAAACCTGCTAATTCTTGCTACTATTTGATGATGATGGTCATTATTCAGCAGAAAAGGCTAAGTCTTTCAAGCAGGCTTCACCGACAAACATCTTCTCAAGATGGGCCTGGGCCGTGCCTCAGCGCAAGATCCATGCGCGAAGTGGGGAAAAGGGCGGGTGAGTCTTTCGAGTTATTGTTCCAAGGCTTCCTTATTTAGTAGGAAGAATTGTAAACGCTTGCGCGCGCCGCCTCGGCAGCCGGGCCGGCCCCAGGAGCGCCCCCAACCTCCCCCCGGCTTGTTAATTTAAGTCGAGCAAGTTTGCAACAAAGCACGCGTATATGTTGGAAAACCGTGATGCCAGCATTGTGTGTGCCATTGCGGATGGGGGGGTTGGGGGGGGGGGGGGTTTTGAGGCACTCCCCCTGTAGGAGCCACCGACAGACGGGACCCTCCGCAGCATCGGTTTGCAGCTCCTCCAAGGGATTGGGGGGGGTCCCACATGGCGGGGGGGGGGGGGGGGGTGGCGTCAGAAAATTTTGCATGGGGGGAAGGGTTGGGTTAGGGGGAAGCAGGCCCGATCCGGGTCTGCTTGTTCCAGACGCTTACTTGCTTAGGGGCTTTGATTGCCAAAAGCCCTTATCACCCCTAAGTTGAACTGTGCACCAGTTCCATCCCCAGCCCGTAGCATCGAAAGCTGAGTCTGAATCGCATGATGGGGTTCGGGAAATTTAGGGTTCAGGGTTTCGGAATTTTGGGGGTTGGGGTTTAGGATCTTTAGGGGTTTAGAGGTTTAGGGTGTACTGTTCAGGGCAGGGGATCTTGCTGAGTGTCACGGTTTAAGCTGAGATCGAGAAACGGATGCTAAGACTAACCAGAGATCCTAGCAAGTTAAACGCGCCCCTCCTCCCCCCCCCCCCCCCCCGGTAAGAACCGAAGACGTATAAGCAGTGATTCCTTTGCTTCGGTGTTCATCTGAGAAGCTTTCCGGGCCCTGGCTTTGGGATCCCTAAACCCTAAACCCTAAACCCTAAACCCTAAACCCTAAACCCTAAACCCTAAACCCCAAGCCCTAAACCCTAAACCCTAAACCTAAGGCCTGAGGGAGAGCAGTGGATGCCGGCAGCTGCTCGGCCCAAGCTTGTACAGACGCCTGTTGCCGGTCAGCTCCCGCCGCAGAGGCTCTCCACATCCTAGGGTTTAGGGTTTAGGGTTTAGGGTTCAGGGTTTTGAAACTGATTTCATGCTTAGTAGCTGAATGAGTACACTTTGTTACATTGTTGGGGACATCATCATCCCCTATAGAACTGGAAGCGTACACTTTTTGGGGCTTATGCACTCAGCAACTAAGCATGGTATGGATGGTACTAAGAATGCGCATTTTGCATTTATTAAGTAGAAAATGGGTTGCCAAAGCTCTCGCAGTTACCCGGAATCCGAGTCAAGGCTACAAGGCCTTCTGCTAGCCTTATTCCTTCAAAGCCTAGCTTGCCCCCCTTAGTTACACCCGAAGCCCTGCCCTACGGTCGCCCACCCAACCCTCAACCCTCAACCCTCAACCCTCAAACCCCAAACCCCAACCCCAAACCCCAAACCCTAAACCCTAAACCCTAAACCCTAAACCCCCAACCCCCCCCCGCCCCCCACATCCCGACAGAGAAGTTGAAGAAGCCAACAACGCAGGCCCCGGGACTCGGGGTGCAGAATGTGTAAAGACGCGGCCTCGAGCGTGGAGTCCTGGCTGGAAGCCTTCAAGCAAGGCCAGGGTTTAGGGTTTAGGGTTTAGGGTTTAGGGTTTAGGGTTTAGGGTTTAGGGTTTAGGGTTTAGGGTTTAGGGTCTAGGGTCTAGGGTCTAGGGTTTAGGATCTAGGGTTCAGGGTTTCGGGTGTAGGGTTTAGGGTTCGGCTCCCCAGTTTTGGGCTTAGGGTGGGTTTGTTGGGGCTTCTAGCGGGCTGAGGCTGAAAGATGCAGTGTTTTGGGCCTATTGCGGGGTCCGGGTTCAGGAGGTAGTAAGGGCCCCTCGTGCAGAAAACTCGTGCAGAAGGACCAAAAAGTCACCCCGAAAGCAAGACCCAAAGCTGCAGACTACTGGGGGTTTAGGGTTTAGGGACTAGGGTCTAGGGTCTAGGGTCTCTAGGGTTCAGGGTTTAGGGTTAGGATCCGCAGCATGACCGGAGACTTGGGGAAAGGAAGTGATGGGGAGCAATTCATGGCCTAGAATGCAGCTTCATGAGGGGCTTTAGAGGCAGCTTGGGAATTTGGGGTCAAGAGCTCAATTTCCAGAAGCTTTCCTGCTTTCATTCGTGTCTCATGGGTCGGCCTCCGAACTTTTCGAACGGGGCATGCAACAATCTCCGGTAGGCCGCCGGGAGATTTTTTATAACGAGGATAGCATTTCGGAATCTTGTCTCAGAGGTTTTTAAGGGCCGTCCTAGGACAATCCATAGTATGTAGGAATCTTTTTCCGGGTATTTCAGGGCCATCCCTGAACAAACCGGGCGCCCTGACTTATAAGATGGTTGCTGGGCGGCCTCAAGTGGTCCAAGCTTCAAGCCAGCCATGGAAATTCTAGTTTAGGGTTTAGGGTTTAGGGTTTAGGGTTTAGGGTTTAGGGTTTAGGGTTTAGGGTTCAGGGTTTAGGGTTCAGGGTTTAGGGTTTAGGGTTTAGGGCTGGGATGTTCCCCCCTTGTACTAACAGTCCTTAATCGGGACTATAATAAGGGGTTGCGAGAATCCAAAATGAAGGACTGTTAGTATCAGGAGGAACATCCCAAACCTCAAGGAGGGTTCAGAAGTGGGCGGGTGTTTGGGGCAGTTTTGTGCTGACCTCCTGGCAATGTTAGGGTTCCCCTAGAAGGGAATTCCCCTGTAAAACCCTTATGTACGCCTTATATAGTCCCCATATACCTAAGTAGCCTAAATAACCCCTAAAGAACGTGCCTCGTCGTGTCCCTTGAGAAAGGTTTTTACCCTGCAAGCCATCGCGCGCTTGGGAGTGATTCGGGTTTAGGGGTTTAGGGGTTTCGGGTTTAGGGTTTAGGGTTTAGGGGCATAGGGGTTTAGGAGGGTTCAGGGTTTAAGGAGGGCTCAGGGTTTAGGGTTTAGGGGTTCAGGGTTTTCAAGGGTTCAGCAGCCCAGCTCAAGAAGAGCATGACGCTTAACTCCCCCTGAAGGTTTCAGGCCTTAGCGTTTAACGGCCTTGGGCTCCAGGAATCTGAGACAGAGAGCCAGACATTGAAAATCGCCCCCCATCCTCGCGCAGCCAGGCTCAGAC